AGTGTGCACTTAATTGAACCATTGTGTCAAGTAGATACCGTTCCCTCATAACGTTATCAATTTTTTAGTGCGTCCTTGACTTCAACTGCATATGAAGGAAGGTTAGGTTACATGTCCTTATTGAATTAGGAGTGTCGGAAGAAGGATATTGGACCAAAACCAAGTAAATATGGGCGTGGTTGCATGACTCTAGGTTGGCATGAAATTGGTCTCTTTATTTGAACTCCACACATAATATAGCACTTATTCCAATTCAAGGCCATCTCAGGAACTAATAATTTTTTTTTTCCTTATTTGACTTCCTAGTCAACTAGAAGTTAACTATTACTTGGAAAAATTTTGTATGCCAAGAAAAGCTCCACCGCCTTATACATCTATATAAACAGTGGTTTGCTAGCAGTTATTCCATGTGATTAACTGCCGAGCCGCTCTCAAGTTTGAAAGTTGGGCAGCATTATTGAATTAGATGTGCTTATAGTTACTTCAAGGCGTTAATTTTGTGGATGCCATTCAACTTCAGTTTTTATTTTCATTGTTGCCTTCACTTCTTCCTTCTGATTCTTTTTATTAGTCTTGGATTTTTTTTTTGTTGCAGGATCAATCAGCCGACTTTGTGCGCTTTCAAAGAAAAAACTTCATATCTTGGTGTAGGAACGTCGAAATCACGAGCGGTCTGCGGTTATAGAAACTAGACTCGGAGTACTACAATATATCAAAAATTTGGATTTAAATTCGCATCTTACCATCCCAGGTGAGCTTCCTAAACTTGACTCAAGTTCTGTCACGTTTGATATTTCAGCTTTGCGCGTCTTCACCAAAAAATTAGTATCTTGCTGTAGGAACGTCGAAATTGCAAGGCGCTTGATTGTACTGATTCTAGACTCAAAGGACTATGATATATAAAAATTTCACCCCCAAACACCTTTTGGATCGGATGGAATTAATTTTTTTGAAATTAGTCAATGCATCTGGCCTGCTGATCTCGCAGCTTTGCGCACCTTCGGAGAAAAAGTCGCATCATGGTGTAGGAGTGTTGAACACACGGTCCACTTAATTTCCTTGACACTAGACACGGGGTGCTGCAACATATAAAAAATTGGAATCCAAATTGGCTATGTACTATCTCAGAAATATTTCTAAAACTTCGCTTCAGATTCTGCCGCGCTCAATTTTTTTCAGCTTTGCGCACTCTCGCTGAAAAATTCATATCTCGAGGTAGGAGGGTCCAAATCATGATCCGTTTGCACCGTTGAAAAGAAGAATAAGAGAGATACAGCATATATAAAACTCGAAGCCCTACCATTTTTGATCCATCCACAATAAGTTTTTTTCTTTTAATCAAGCGCCGAAATTAGGAGGATTATTTTTTTTTTTGGGAAGCATACTTTTTTTTCCTTGCAGGTTTGGCGAGGGAAAGCTTGGTGCATCCTCACCTTCGTAGAATTGGAGGACGAAAATTTGGCGCATCCACCTTTTCGGCCGAGGCTTTGGCGGACAACAGCTTGGTGCATCCACCTTTCCAGTCGAGCTTTGGCAAACACACAGTCACTCGAGTCTGTCCGTCTTTCACCGCCATGATTACGGCTCGTATTCCTTCCCCACCTTAGAAGGAGTTTCATGGTGTCCTCTTCTTGCAATTTGGCGAAGAAGTCCATGGCAAGTCCTCCATCCACATTGAAGCCTTGCGTCGTTGACACTGGTACTTGTTGCTGAGCTAAGGCTCCGTGTCATTGGCACCGATCAACTAAGCAGAACCAAAAGCTTCGTGCCATTAGCACCGGGGTTCTCCAAAATCTTTCTCTTTTGCAGATTTTCAAGAGCAGTCTTGATATCCTTAAGAAGGTTCACTAGAGGTCCACATGAATGGGGATGAACCGTTCGTCTCTTTATTACGGCTTGGCGAGAGAATTTCATGGCGTGTTCCTACTTTTGCAACTTAGAGAAGGGGAAATTTGGAGCGACTCATTTTCATCTTTGGCGAGAAATCATGTGACGCATCCCATCCTTTGCGGCTTGGCAAGATTGACACTTGGAGTACTACTCTTCCATCCTTTGCGAGCAAGTATGGGAAGCAGCCATCCTGCAATCTTTGGCATGGAACCACCTGTTCTTGCAATTTGTCGGAGAAATGCATGGAGTATCTTAACCTTCAAGCTTTTGTGCGGAACCACATCTTTTTGCAATTTGGTGAGGAAGTTTACGAAGTGTCCTAACCTTCAATCTTTGGCATAGAACGACTCCTTATTGCAACTTGGTGAAGTTTATTGAGTGTCCTAACCTCCAAGCTTTAGCATAAAACCACGTCTTCTTGCAACTTGGTGAAGAAGTGCCTAGAACGTCCTTCTCATGACTTGATGAAAAGATACATATAGTGCTCAATATTTCGAGTTATGGAGCTAACAAAGCATCTCGTCCTTCAACCCTTATCGAAAGAAGCACATGAAGCATTTTTTTTTCATGCGGCTGGATGAAAGAAAACATGGCGCATCATCCTTTAAGCTTTGATGTGGAGTAACTTCTTCTTTAACTTGCCCAAAGAAGCGCGTGGTGCATATATGGAGCTAGCATCTCTTTGGCTATCGTGAAGAGGAATTGATTTTTTTTTTGTTGCTTGAGTGGCTGAACTTAGAATGAACTCTAAGTTGCCTACGTACCCCAGCGAAGAGGATCAAGTCATTACGTAGTTCATATAAAGTATAAGTTTTCTTTTTTCTTTTTGTATGCAATTTATACTCATGCGGACAAGGAGTATTTTGCAACTTGCAGTTTAGACTCATGCGTCAAGGAGTGTGGTGACTTGCAGTTTACGCTCATACGTCAAGGAGCGTTGTAACATGCATGGACTCTTCAGTTTCATCTTCGGATGAATACTTGCCCCCATTCTCACCATGGTCTGCTTCTATTTCATCATGAGGCTCAAAGCTAGGAAACCTTTGGTCTCCACTTGTAGCCATACTCAATTCCATATCATGTGCACTGGTGGTCAACTCTTCAAAAGTTTTAGGCTTTATTCCTTGCAAGATGTAGCGAAGGCTCCAATGCATACCTTGTATGCACATTTCGATGCCAGAAGTTTCGCTAAGACGGTCTTTGCAGTTGAGGCTTAAACTCCTCCAGCGATTGATGAATTCGATAACTGGCTCCTCCTTCCGTTGGCGGGCATTTGTAAGTTCAATCATACTCACAATGCGCCTCGTGGTATAGAAATGATTGAGGAATTTTTGCTCGAGTTGCTCCCAACTATCAATGGAACTAGGTTCAAGATCCGTGTACCAACTGAAAGCATTTCCTTTGAGAGATCGAACAAACTGCTTGACAAGGTGATCATCATAAGTTCCAGCATCATTGTATGTCTCGACTAAGTGTGCAACATGTTGGTTGGGATTCCCTTTACCGTCAATTGTTGAAGTTTAGGGGGTTGATATCCACTTGGCATCTTCAAGTTATCAATCCTTTGGGTGTACGGCTTTGCGTATGTAAGGAAAGATTTAGGCGAAGGCTCAATTTTATCCTTGATGTCCCCTATGATGAAGTACTTCAATTGCTCAACACGAATCTGCCCATCAGAAGAGACTTGGAGCTCTTTGGTCATTGTTGTTAGCTTTGTAGAGGACTCTCCTTTCTCATGAATTTTTGGAAGCTTCCTAGGTGCGTGGCTTGATTCTTCCTCTGTTATACTCTCTACCTTATTCATCAACTTGGAAATTTATCATCTTGATCTTTCAGGTACTTTGTCAGGCCTTCAACTGCTTTTATCAAATTTGCAAGTTGTTCTTCTATGGTAGAAGCTTCAATCATCATTGTTTGCATGAGAATGATATGGATCATCACTTGTATAGAGAGCAGATTGTGGAGTGACACGAGGAGAGATTAGAGCAAATTCGTTGCTCAACACATCATCATCTTTCAGTATGAAAGGATTATGGGACCGATGATGATATTCTTTTGAAAGGCTAAATCTCGCCAAAGTTCGCACCTCAACGATGTTGTTCCCTTTTTCTAGCATGTACGAAGAGGATCTCACTTCTTTTGGAGAAGATGAACCAAAAACATGAGTTGTGGACGGCACTTCAAACACTTGTTGTCCTAGTATTTCGGCTTTGCTTCTTTTGATTTGGCCAACAATCTCCATTGCAACTTCCAATCCGCTTTTGGAGTCAGATCTCGGTTTGTTTTTTATTGTAGCCATCTTGGTGTTCTTGGACTTTGTAATGGAGATTGTCCCACTGGGCGTGCCAAAATTTGTAACAACTAAATTTCGCTCCTGAAAAATAATAATCAAGACAAGAAATATAGCGACAAATATTATATTCAATTTCAAGTGATGGGGTTACAATCTCTAAAATATCTCTAAATCTAAAGAGATGTAGTCCTCTGATTCTTCTCCTCACGAATGATGGTTCAAGAGCTTGAAAGCTTGATCTTGAACTTGACGGATTTCAGATCCGTAGTACGTCAAGAACAATTTGAAGCTCGTCACAAACCAGGATTTGGTGTTGGGTTATCACGAACGGAAGATTTGAAGCCGCCCGCCTATGACTTGAGTTCGCCTTTGGAATTTGACCACAGACGACGATTGCAGATATAGATGGAGACTTTGATGATATTCTTCAGAGCTTCTTTAGCCTTTCCTTCTGCTTACTTGCTTCTCCCTTAGCCTTCTCCTTTAACCCCTTTATATAGGCGTGGGGTGGAGTAGTCTCCAAGAAAACCCTAGTGGATCATTGGGCTTAAGACTTATGGGCTGACCCATTTGATAGAAGACCAACTAATGGGCTAGTCCAATGGTATTTGGACCTTTATTTAAATCAATTTAATTGGATTTAAATAATTGACCCATTTATATTAACCCATAATATTTATTTTGACTAATATGTATTTAATATATGATAAAATCCAAATTACTAACAATACATCATCCAACTGTTGTGTGTGTCAAGAACTTGGTCGTGAAAATTGTAGACATTAATTCTCTCTCCAACTTTCAACAAAACACTCCAATGGCTCACCCCACGATCAAACCTCCATTACCCCCAGAGCCCCCGGACAAGAATGAAGTTATGGAAGTGGAAGCACCTCAGAGCTCCTACAAGGATATGCTCCTAGATAATCAACAGGGTAACCAAGAAACCTACTACGACAATGACAATCAGCTAGAACAGGCCAAAGGCAAGCATATTAAAGGCTCAATCCCCCTGTCACCTGAAGAAAAGGATCGTATATACGCTTCATGGAGGTATTCAGTCATCATAAAAGTTTTTAAGAAAAAGATGCCTTACCATTTACTACGCTCTAAGCTAGTTAACCTACGGAACCCATCCGAAACGTTAATCTTGTTTGACCTAGGATGGGATTTCTTCATAGCTAAATTTAGCTTAGAAGAGAGTATGGTCAAGGCACTTCACTTAGGGCCATGGTTTGTCTCAGGGCACTTCCTCTCAGTTAGGAAATGGGAGCCAAAATTTGTGCCCCAAGAAGCAACACTCACATCCACTGCCATCTGGACACGTTTGCCACAACTCCCAACAGAATTCTATGACAAGGCTATTCTTGAAAAGGTGGGATGGAAACTAGGTAAACTCCTAAAAATCGACCAATGCACCTCCTCTACTCTCAGAGGGAGATATGCACGCATTTGTATCCAAGTGCCACTAGAAACCCCAGTAGAAACCTCAGTCATCATAGGTGACCACAAACAATCAGTGATCTACGAAGGTGAAGGAACTTTATGCACCAGCTGTGGCAGGATAGGACACACAACCCTAAGGTGCACCTATAAAATGCATTATCCACCAGTCAATGACACACAGGATAACTCCTTCCACTCAGATAAATCACCAGAAGAAAGCGAATGGAAAACAGTCACATTCCCACGGAGGCGATCACAGAGCTCCCCAAAACAACCACCCACCAAGGAGAACAATCCTACAAATTACCAGGCAAAGGAGGTACAGGTAAAGACGTTTGAAGCAGGTCCAGGTAAATATTTTCACTCCAAAAGCTTTAACATTTTGAGCAACCCAGGCCATAACAATTCAATAAATAAAATAAACAAAAAAACAACAATAACTTTGGGCCCGTTGAGAACCCAAACAAAGGGCTGTCAAAATCAAATCATAGGCCAAACATAACCCCACCGGTACAACCCACAATGAGTACCAAAAGGAAGGTGGGTCCTGATTCGATCGACTCCCCCAAAAATCGCCCACCCCACATAAGCACTGGCCCAACCCCCAGCGGCCCAAGTACCAAATTATCGACTGACAAAAATGGGTCCCCTATTTTGTCCCAAATAGATCAACCCATTCCGGGCCCTAAGGGAACCCCACAGTCTCACTCCCCCCCTTTGTCTACCCACCCACTATCTTTCCCTCTCTCGTTAATGGTGGAAATCCTATCGACAGGCATGGTACTCGATTACCTTACCTGCAACCCTCCCAAAACGCAGTTGAAAAGACTACAACCGTTACCGTCACTTCTTCAATATCCCCAATGTAATGAGCAAGATCTCCGCCCTAAATCGAACGCCACACAGAACCCTTCCACGTCCCGAATGTGACAACAGAGGTTTAACAATGGGAGAGTCAGTCATGTTAACCCCAATCCCAACTTTTCCCAAAGAGGAAACAGAAGAAAACCCAAAATGGAAATAAAGCACCCCTACGAACACGCTTACCATCACAGCGTGCATCCACCAGTCGCACTGCCTCCGGTCCACCAACCGCCTCTTGTTGGAGGTGGTTTAACAAGGTCAGGGAGCTCTCCTACAGTCACTCTGACAACAAGAACCGGTGATGCTGATAATCCAAAATCCGGCTCACCTTGCCAAGAATCGAAGTAGGAAAGCTTCAATGAACAAAGCTCCTAATGGCGTTGGCCCCTCCTGATGGCGAGTCAATGGTCAACCTCGAATGTCCTGTCCACGGATCACAGACCCTACAACCCCTCAACTCCCACATTCTCTCAAGGCTTTCAAGCTCTTCGTTTCTTCCAGACCTATAGCGACAGGAGGACCCAGCAGCAGAACGGAGCTTTTACCCATGATCGAGCCTTCATACGGACTCGCATCAGTGTCTACCCCAAAAGAAAGCGAGCAGACCTCCACCCCTCTAAAACATCCACCAAGAGTGCCAAGCCCTAGACTTGCTGAGAAACAAGGGAATAGCAGGGAGGCGAGGGGAGCAATGTACCAAACGCCAAGAACAGAGTCGATTTCCTGGATTCGGTGAGAATCAATAGAGTCAGTTACTAAGTGAAGCGAGATTGTGTGTGTCTATGCCCCAAAAGCAGATGACCAAAGTGCAGGGCTAAGGCCTAGTTTCAGAACTCCAAACCATGGGTCAAATCAAGCCTTATCAAAATCTACACCGATACTAGATTCTGAGAGGAAAACCCCCATCAGCGACCACCAATGCCGAGCTCCCAAGAGGGAGCCCACCATCCCCACGTTTCCAAATGGATGAGTTACATCATATGGAATTTGTAGGGGTGGGAATAGGCAGAGTTCAAAAGGCACTGACAGAAATGGTTAACTTACACAAACGCCTCCATGCTGTGCTCCCTTGAAACAAAGATTGTAGATCACCAGTCACTGCCAGTGCCTGCAACTTTGACCTAGTGATCAATTCAATCACCGCGTAGTCTTGAGGTGGCATAGTTTTCTATGTGGAAAGAAGACCAAGTCGCGGTGGAAGAAGTGGCAGACACACCTCAAGGTAATCATGCATGGTTCAGGTAAGACCAAAAACATACCCCTTGGCTCTTTTTCCTACATATCTATGCTAGTCCTTTGTGCTTGTAGATAGGCAATAATGTTGTGGGAGCAAACTTAGCTACTCTCTCCAGAACTGTAAATAATAACTGGTTTATAGGGGTGACTTCAAATGAAGTCTTAAAGCTAGAGATAAAATTTGGGGGGAATCCTATTAATGCTCAGCCGGCAGTAAACAACTTCTGGGAAAATGTATCACACATGCCAGTTTAATTGACCTAGGGTATAAAGGCCAGTAAATACACATGGACAATCAAAAGGTACAAGAATATGAAGTGCCCTAATCCTAGAAAATTGATAGTGTTTTGCCAAACGAGGGTTGGATTTCTCAGTACCTCTGAGGCAACTGGCAACAACCTGACTAGGACCACTCAGACCATCTGTCCTTTAAAATTCCAAAATGGAAAGCCCACAATACCCTCCAAAATAAAAAACCCTTCAGGTTTGAAACAATGTGGGGCTAGCCACCCCTCCTTCCCCAATTAATGCCAAGCTTTTGATGCAAGCTCCTTCCAAGTCCAGTCCACTGTCAGGTTCCAAAAGAGCCCTGGCATCCATTTGGAACCACAAGTCTTTGAAAATATTTTCCAATAAGAAAAAAGACTTGTAGCCAGAATCATGCCCATCCCAGAATTCCCCTACTACC